TTTTCATTGATAGTCCAACCTTTCATGACTACTATTCCAGCTACACTATTGTTTGCACACAGATGATTAACTTTGAATTGTCAAACAAGTTTAAGAAACATCAGATGCACGATGTATTAAAGTTTTCTTGCATGAGGAAACATTTTCCAATTGGAATCTGGGAATCTGGATTTAGAGGTATATGTATGTATACACATCTACATTGTTCCAAATTTGACGCAGAGAACAACTATGGTTATGTATGTATTGACTAAAACATTAAACCGTCCTTATACTTCTCAAGAAATCAGCAAATGTCAAAAGGAACTTACCTCCTATTAGTGTAATATGCTCTTGCACCATTAAGAACAAATCCAAATTCATTTACAAGGGAAATGAGATTAATCACAATTCCTTTTGCCGTCTCATGCATTTTACTTGCTAACAAGCCCCTGCACAGCAAATATATTAATCTTCTAAAACTGTGCATTACAAAGGACAAAAATAGATGTCTAAATAAAAATGTAATACATATTCCAGGAATGAATTGCAAAGTTGCAGTACTAAATTAAAGAAACAGAAAATCATGAAATGACCTTGAAAACAAAAACCTGGGTTATACAAATATTAGCTGGATAGTTTAGTCCCTATCCTACCTTCTTACAATAAAGCTTCAACATCAAATAATAAAGCAAACTACAATTATGGTGCAATTACTATACAATACAGCCTTTGTGCGGAAAAAAGTTAGAGTGGGTTTAGCACAACACGTGGCAATGCCATATGGTGTGCACAGCCAGTGGAAAATTGTCATGTCACAGAGGTTGGTTTTTTTTCAAAAAATTTGATAAAAGTGATGAATGACAGTTTTTCTTAGGAATGTACAACTTCAGATTGGTTATGTACACCACTGGCAATCCCAAGTGGTGTGTTAAACCCACACAAATATTTCTCCTTTGTGCGAGCACAATTCAAGACCAACTGCAGGCCTACAGGGTCAACAAAATCCTTCCATTGTACCAACACAACAATGAAAGATTGTGCTCTGTTTGATTGGTGAGAAGCATGAGGAAGAAGGACAAAAGCAAATACAGAAAACAATTTACTTCTTGTTATGCTAAAAAGGGATATTGTGGTGCATTAGATTGCATTATTCCCACATAATTTATACAACCCCAAATTTTGACAATAGAGCCGAATCTATATTGAAACATATTAAAGTTTGATTAGAACACTTTTTTTCTGTAGAACAGTATTCTAAGTTAAGTTGAATTGATTCACCAACCTTGGCTTTTTCATACTTTTCAAGAATCAAATGGCAGACAATGTAGAACCAAATTCTTGAGTAGTGTTACTTGGACCTAATCATCTCAGAGCCAATTTGATGAGCTATTCCGATATTTGCATTAGATTGGTAGTGCATTCAATATTGAGACCCATATCAATCTAACAAGCACAACAAATTAGATCAACAGTTTAGGGTGGATGATTAGGTCCAAGCAACATGATTGAATTACTTTCTTCGTTTACATGTTACCAATTTTCTTTACAACCAGACATGTGTTTAAGATGGGTGGGTGGGGCGGATGGGAAGAAAAGAAGAATTAAGACTAACCTTATCACCCAATAGGAATCCCAATAATAAACCTCTCGAAACCTTGAACCAGGTATCATAACGGGCTTCGGCAGAGGAAGCAACGTATGCAAATCCGATTGCTCCAAAACTCCGTCGGACACTCTCCGGCTCAAATTCTTCCAAAGCGAATGAACCTCCAACGCCCAAGCCCTTACCTCCGGGTTCAACACCTTGGGCAAAAACCCCTTCGGCTCAGCCTCAAAGTCCACCGGCTCAACATACACCAAATCATCTTCTACACCATTGAAGTAGTTCTCTATATACCCATTTAAGTCGGAAACCGATACGGAACCATTGTCACTCCGGGCAAGCTTGTCAAAAGCTTCTTGGGTCGTAGAAAGATTGAATTTTGATGACAAATCGACGTACAGTTTTGGGTCAAAGTTTTTGTGTCCGTAAGTTTTAAGAGCAGTTTCTTGGAGTCGTTCCAAAAAGGTGACCAATGGGGTTGTTGGTACCACAGGGCCTGAGTCGGTAGGTATGCATGGTTGTGGAGCTTGTGCTGTGACCGTACTGCTCATAGCTGTCGAGAAGTAGATGAGAAAGAAGAAAACGAGTTAAGAAGAGAAGAGAGAAAGTGTTATGGTTTATAGATCGAAAGTACGCCATTTTTCTGATGAGAATAACGAGTTAATTTGATAAAGTTTGGTGAAGACTTACCAAACTTACATGGGATATTTAACTGTGTATATAAGTAAAAGAATACAAGGAAAAGGCCGGCAGTGGGCATCATAGGGCTAGTTGGATGGTTGGAATTGGCCTATTTTTCGATAAGAACTAGAAAAAGGTTATAGCCACACCACGTTTTTTTAACAGATCCTCATCTTTGTTGGGCTTCTGAAGAAATCGAATCTTCCTTCAATATCACCAAATATATTTAGTAGCAAAAACACTATCAAACTTGGGAATATTTTGTTCTTCATATTTTTTTGATTTAAATAAGAATCCGTCAGAATTTATTGACAGGTTCAAGTTTACTTCTGCCTTTATTTTTACTTGATTTGATTTGATTTGATTTGATTTTGTTCTTCCAATTCTGTCTTTTAGTCCTTGAAAGCATCCCATGTTTGACAAATCAAAAATTCCTTCCAAATTTTATCACAATTGATTTAAAAACGTCAATTTTAATTTATTTACATGAGTTAAATAAAACCCAAGAAAGGGTTAGAAATTTTTTTGCCAAACAAGATAACTAACACAAATGACCAAATTGCATTGTTCTCTCTCTCTCACACCACACAGTTGTCTACTTCGTCTCCTATTTTCTTAACAGATCTAAAAATTTTTTAGACAAATTTGTTTTATCAAAACAAGGCTATGCCGACATATCTTAAGGAGACCAAAACATCTTCTCCAATAAGATAGTTAATTTAAATAATAAACTAACTCTAATAAAATAATATCCTATTTGAATTAAGATTACTTAACAACTACTAATAAAATAACTAATTAATAAGAATTTGGGTTAATTCTCAACAGTCATCATAACATATGAACACTTGTTTAGAAGATATGAAATTACAACAATTTTAAAAATTACTTGTAAGAAAAATTTATTTAAAATTGATCAAAGACTAATTTATAAATCAAACATGTTATTGGATTAGATATGTTAAGGGCAAAACAATCGATGGCACTATATTCCATCATCCCTCTTCGTGAATCCCACATAAGTGTTTATGTCTTATACAAAAATTAGAAATGATTGAATATAACCATTAAATACTAATCAATCAAACGATAGCTGAGTTTAGAGCAATACTATTAAGACATAATTTACTGACATAATTCATTATGACCTAATTTAGATTAATTGTAGGGCCCATCAAATATTAAAACTCTATGTTGATCCAATAATTTTATTGAAACCACATCACTTTATCAATAAATTATGTCAGATTTTTAAGTTCAAATAACATTACTCAGTGAGTTTAAGTTGAATAGAAATTAATATATGCTATTTGAACCTAAAAATCAAACCTAATTTGCTGACATAATGATGTAATTTCATAAAAATCATTGAATCAACATCAAATTCCAACGTTTGATAAGACATACAATCAATCCAAATGTCATAATAAATTAAGTAACAAATTATATCAGTAAATTAAATCTCAATAGCATTACTCCTTTTTAAATCTCCAATTTTATCCATTCCTATCATTCAAACACAACCAAAGTACTCTGCGTCAATATGAAACCATTCCGGCGGAGTGGGTTTTCATAACTCTTTTACCACATTCTAGTAATTTCAAACTTAATTATCCGACTATCGTTGTTAAGCATGTTCGGTGCTTAAAAAACAAACACTTTCATAAAAATAATGATAATTTGATAAAAATAAGTATAAAATTAAAAATTTTTGGTTAAATTTTTTTTTAAAAAAAATGACAGTATTTCGATGAACAATTGCGTAAAAAAGCCCAGTTCAAAAAAAAAAATATTGTGTAAAAAAGCTCCTCAGCTGTCCCTTCAGTTCCACACAGCTCCATCCTATGGGGCAGAGCTTCAGGAATTGGAACGATAATAACAACCATCATATACACTTGCATCCTAGGAGCTTAGACAAAAAGAGCAAATAATAATAATAATAACAATGATCCAAAAAAGCTCATTTTGACAGGATACCAACTCCCTAACCCCAAGAAAACAAGGAGAGAGGGAGAGTAATAGTGAAAGGAAAAAAAATAAAAGGACAAGCCTCCAACAGTTTCCCACTTTATTTCTCTCCTATCATGTTTTAGCGAGACTCACTTTTATATGATAAATTTATAGTAGGAAAGAAATAAAAGACAAATAAATTACATGAGATCTCACGCCATTTTCTTGGACCTCAGCCTCGTCCCGAAGAGCAAGTGGAAAAGCAAACAACAGCAAAAATAAATAAATAGAATAAAGAAGATCAAATATGAAAGCAGATAAACCAAGTTTTTACGTTGGGTATTGATTTAACAATGGTCATTAGTAGCCCGTGGAGATTCCAATGCAATTAATCAAATGTAGAGCCGATAATTGAGTCGAACTAATTGGACTCGACCTGGATAACTCGACTCAAGCTTGACTTGTATTTTAAATGAACCGAGATTGAATAATTTTTTAAGTTCGTTTAGAAAACAAGCATAAAATGCTCGACTCGAACTCGTAAAACTCTATTCGTTTATATGTAAAATAATCGAACTACTCGGGCTCGACTCAAATTCACCTTGTTTTAGGCTCGGCTCATTTTCTAAACGAGCCAAAATTGAACAATTTTTTAAGTTCGTTTAAAAAAACAAACTCTTAAATCTCGTCTCAATCATCAACCCTAACCAAATGGCTCTCGGCTGGGACTCATTTGACTGAAATATGGTGGACGGCAGTCCTACCAAGGTCAGATATAAGCCGTGCCATATGCCCCTTGTCTTTTTCGTAATAAATCCTGGAAGTGGTACAGTAGGTTCAGGAGACAACAAACCTGGAAGTCCGTTTCATATGCTAGGGCTGCAGAATAATCCATTTGGAAGCAGGAAACCAGGCCCCTGGTTCACTGCCAAAAGTGCAGTGAACAAGCAGTGTCTTTAGACACTAAAAGTGATTTTTTCAAAGTAACTGATACAAATTCTTGTAACTCCTATACATGTTTCCAAAAGAAAAGAGTAGTTACCTGAGAGACAGAGAGAGCACAAGGGATTGTAGCACAGTTGGGAAAACCTAAGAAAGAGAACTATAAGTCCATGGAAGCCAATGCTTCTTCCCGGCAAACACAAGTCCGAACACCAGTACCAGGAAGGAGCATTTTGAAGGAGAAGAAAGCAAGGCTGTACATAATCCGCCGATGCATCTGCATGCTACTTTGTTGGAAAAAACATGCAGATTAGAGATGCTGGTAATGTTGTTGCAAATACAGATTTTAACAACTATTCTGTATGTTAGTATACTTACTGAAATATGCGTGCTCGCGCAAGAGAGAGAGATAGACGAATGTACTTACAGTAATTTTTATAGGTGAACAAAGAATCAGACATTGCATGTAACAAAGCAAAGCTTAGACCAAGGATTCTGTTAAATTTGTTTTATTTAACATCTCAGAAAGTAACAAGCTCTTGGGAGATATCAGAGCAACTAATAGCATGAGGACTCGCCCCATATGATACAAGCACACCAGAATAATTTGCCCATATTAAAGCCTATGCACACTCAATCCATGAGAAAGAAAGAAGAGAAACAACAACAATATTCATGAAAGCACAAGACTGGATCAATTTGTGCGTGCATGCCTTTATAAGCAAGTTTAAGATTTCTTCAGCTCCAACTAGCCACATCAGAGATGCATGTGCTATCTCTTAGTCAATCAGGGTCAATAAAATCATTTACTCATCATAACACAAAATTCGCTCGCTGTAGAGGAACTTGTAGGAGGACTGACATTTAAGTTCAGTTGACTACGCATGCAATTTAAGAAAGAGAGCCGAAGTTGTCACCTAGGGAGAGAGATAACCAAGAAAAACTAAGATGATGACCAAAGGAAGAATCCCAGAAGAAGCAAATGCAAGTTGTGTAGAAATTGATAGGGACAATGTAATAGGATTATAGGAATTACACACTCCACCTGTACATCATTATCACTTTCCTTTTCTACAAGTGACAAGAACCCTAGATATCATACATCAAAGATCACCAGAAACAATATTTTTCCCAAATACACTGAAAATCATCTGTGACCACCACAAAAGCTGAACCAACAAATCAGTAATTTGAATTGGAGACCTTAAAGACAAGTTTCATACTAATTCTGATAGCCAAGCAAAACGATTTTGTCAGTTAGTACCAGTACACAGCTTTGGATCTTTTACAAAGGACAGTAGACAAGTGATATTCAATGGTAACTTCTAATTCATTTGCCCAGAAGCCTTTGTTAGAAAATCTGAGAGAAAAAGCAGAGCATAATTAATATAGTACACAACATAGCCCATTTAAGGTCATAGAGTGCAACCTGACCCAAAAAAAAAAAGGGTCATAGAGCACAATAAAAATAGTCACATAAACAGAATGGAAATATGTAAGCAATATTTGAAGATCGAAGAGCATCCTACATTAATTTGCTGGGTGGATCTCAAAAGGGAAGAAAATATTAAAAAGAGGCATACTCAGTGCACGAGGTGCGGAGTCTTGGGGAGGGTCGGATGTACGCAGCGGCAGAAAGAGGCTGTTTCTGCAACACAAACCCGTGACATCCAAGTCCCAATGGAGCACCCTTACCATTGCGCCAAGGCTGCAAACCTCACAAGGGACTAGAATATTAGACAGCTGAAAAAATAAATTGACAGCAGTTAAATGTACCTAACCTACCTAATTAAAGCATCAAAGGCCATACAAACCTCAAGAGGTCAAAAAGCAATCCCCTCCTCCCCCACAACTGAGTCACAGACACCCATAAAAAACAAACAGAATGCAAGATCTGTAATAAACATACGCATGTATGATTTATCAATGTGCTTATAGAAACACAAAGAAGCAAGTATGTTTTGCTGACAGAGGTTCCATCAAGGGGTGCGGTTGGTACCCGACCCCGACCCCGAAACCCTGACCTGGGAATCTAAAGGGTTTAATCTCATACTGCAGCATCCAAGATTTGGAAGAGGGTTTAAATTCCACTTCCACCAATTGATTGCCTCAATGCACTATTAAATTCATACAAGAATGGTGCAATCCAAAAGAAACTCCATCTCCATAGTATCAACTCCTATCAGGTAAGGGTAAAAACAACGGAAAATCTTTCCGCTGAGTTGGGGCAGAACAGAAAGTGCTCAGCGAGCAGGAACATTAGAATTCATTACAAAAGAAGCAAACTGACTATATTTTGTAAAAACAGCGAAAAATCACAAGAAAAGCAGGGCATAAATCTATGATACAAAAAGCCCAAAAGAAGCACAGAGTAGGAAAAGAACATGGTATACCAATTGATCAAAACCTAAGTCAAGCGGCGATTGATAGATAGGCATCACTCCACCAAAGAATACAATGGTCCAGCTTTTGTCGTTGCTGAAACTCATGGATCGACGGTCCAGTCCTACAAAGATGAATTTTCAATATCTAACCAACACGATTATGAGAGCAACCCTAAACTGGGAAGCCATACTTGAAACGAGTGTTAATTGCAAATTGTATCTTAAAAAATTGTTTGAATTTTAATTTATATTTTTAAAGATAAAAATTTTTAATTTGTACTCTCAAAAATAAAAAATTTGTATCGATGTATATCCTCAAAAAATAAAAAATTTGTATCAATGTATATCCTCAAAAATAAAAAATTTTAATTTGTACCCTCAAAAATAAAAATTTGTATCGATGTGCACTTAAAATTAAATTGATAAATTATACCTAGATTCCCTAATGTTTGTCACTTAATCATTTGGACTCCTTCATATTTAGAATATTACTCTTATATCTCATAGTATTTGTGCACGTGTAACACGTAACCCCTTTTTGTTGATATATGTTAATATAACAGTTAAAAAATATGATTTTATCCTAATAAAAAAATTATAATTTTATATTACCTTTTATTTTTATGGGTCCAATATATTCTAAAGTTCAAAAACAAACTTACTATTTGAATGTCTAATAGAATAAAGGGTTGTACATTGAATAATATATTACATTGAATATAAAAAATATTAAATAAATATCTACATTCTATTAGACATTCAAATGATAAGCTTGATTTTGAACTTTAGAATATATCGGATCCACAAAAAAAATAGTAATAAAATTATAATTTTTTATTAGGATAAAATCATATTTTTTAACAGTTATATTAACATATATCAACGAAAATGAATTACTTGTTGCACGTGCATAAACGTCATGAGATGTAGGAGTAATATTCTAAATGTGAAGGGGTCCAAATGATTAAATGACAAATATGATGGGATCTAGGTATAATTTATCAATTTAGTTTTAAGTGCACATTAATACAAATTTCTATTTTTGAGGGTACAAATTAATATTTTTTATCTTTGGGGGTGCACATTGATACAAATTTATATCTTTGAGGATACAAATTAAAATTTTTTATCTTTGAGAGTGCACATTGATACAAATTTTTATCTTTGAAGGTACAAATTAAAATTTTTAATTTTTGAAGGTCTAAATTAAGATTCGAACTATCTTTTAAGATATAACTTACGATTAACCCCTTGAAACAATGGGTTTAACTCTTTCAAAACACAAGGCCGTATGTGGTGGTTTGGGGTGAGGCCTTTCACCTTTGTGTACGTGTATGATTTCTATTCATATTTGTGATTGTAATTATAATCGGTAAGTAATAATACAAATAAACTAATTATTATCTAGTAATCAGTAAATATATTTGTATTCATATACAAAATTAAATCACAAACATAAATAAGAGATAAAAAATTTTAAGCATCAATTTATAGTGAAAGTGAGAGATGGTGGGCGGCAATGGGGGTGATAGGAGACAGTAATGATTGTGGTGGGTGGCAATGACCGTGGTGGCGGTGAGGGCGACGACAATGGTGATGGTGGCGGCGACAGCGACAGTAACGACAACGATGATGGTGGCGACGATTATGGTGGTGGAGGTGGTGGTAATGGCAATGGCAATGGCGATGACGACAACGATGACGACGGCAGTGATGGTGGTGGTGACAGCGACAATGATGGTGGTGGTGGCGACGACAACGTTGGTGGGGGTGGGACGGCAGTGGCGATGGGGGTGGCGGCGGTGGCAGCGATGACAATGACGATGGTGGTGGTGGCGGCAGTGGCGGTGGTGGTGGGGCGATTTTAAACACTATTTTTTTTAAAAGTATATATGAGAAATAATTTTTAAAATTATTTTTAAAAAGTCACTTCAAACACACTCGTAGGTGCCTATTTTTTCTATTAAATTTAAAGTGTTAATATTTACCGTTAGATTAACTTTAAAGTAAAATTTAAAGCTATCTCAACCGCGAATAATAAAAATCATTTTGTTTATTTTTAAAATTTGAATTGTAAGATACTTTATTATATAGATATAAAATCTATGATTTATCACCATATATTTGTCATGTAAATAACTATATTAGGTCATAATTTGTTAGATTTGGATAGACAAGACATTAAATTAAGGGATACAAATATATTTTATCAATTATATACGATTTTGCCTCTTCGAAAGCCACCCCTTGGGTTTGCTGATACTTATGCTCATGGGTTTAAGCATCCGGGTCAGGTACGAGTTGAAACTACTAAACATGATTTTTTTTTTTTTGTCCAAATCATTTTTCCTAAACCTGTCATACCAAACCCCTCGTATCCCATAAAACAAACAGGCCAAAAGAAAGTAGAAGGATCTTCTAATATCTGTTAATCTAAACTTTTGTTTGTGTCCACTAAGAGAAACGAGGAGCGTATCTGGTGTAGTGGTATCATAGTACCCTCCCACGGTACTGACCGGGGTTCGATTCGCCGGATACGCACCTAGTGAGTAATGGTTTGAAATTTTTATTTTTCATGTTACCTCTATAATTTTTGTGGAATTTTTATTCGTTTTCAATATAATCGTTAGTTGTTAGTGTATCTTCAATGTTGACCCAAACTTAAACTTAAATTTGGGTAAAAATCACTAGATAAACTCAATTTAAAGAAAAGTAAAATATAATCATTGAAATCATTAAAAATTTGAGCAAATATTTGAGTCTATCTTGATTTGAGTAAAAAGTTAAATATTTATTTATTTACGATAAATTTGTATTAAAAACTGGAGTTTATTTTTAATTTATTTTTACTCAAATTTAAATTTGAGTAAAGAGTGGAGATAACTTTAGTTATAATATTAAATAGAATTTAAAAATTATAATTAATTACATTTTCAAATGTTGTCTAAATATCATTTTTCCCCAATAAATCTAAATTATATATTAGTAGCTAACACTAATGCACCGGATCTCATCAAAACTATCTTTTTACTTACCGGAAAAAAAATCTATATAATAAAGTAGCTTATAATTTAAATTTCAAAAGATAAACAAAATAATTTTTATTTTTCACGGTTCAAATCTCTTTAAATTTTACTTTAAAGTTAATCTAACGGCTAATATTAACACCCTAAATTTAATAAGAAATATAGGCTCCTAAGGGTGTGTTTGGAGTGACTTTTTAAAAGTATTTTTAGAAATTATTTTTCATAAGTATTTAAAAAAAAAAATAGTGTTTGAAACCGCTCCACCATTACCTCTATCACCACTACCACTACCTCTACCACCACTGTCATCGCCACACCATCATCATCACCACCACCACCGTCACAACCATCACCACCACTACAGCTACAACCACCACCACTGTTGTAGCCACTGTCATCAGCCCATCGCCGCCACCATCACTGCTGTTGTCGCCGTCACACCCACCACCATTGTTGCCATTGTCGTCACCACTACCGCCACCTCTGTCGTCGCCACCGCCACCGCTATCGCCACCACCACTGTCGTCGCCACCACCATCACCATCCTGTTGCCACCACAGTCATTACCACTCACAATAATCAGCACCATCTCCTACCACAACCACTGTCGTCCACCACCTCTCACCCTTACTATTACTGATATTTAAATTCATTTATCTTTCATCTATATTTATGATTTGATTTTGAATATAAATACAAATATATTTATTATTTACCATTTTTTATTATTATGTGTCTTCAAGCACATGCAATAACTAGTATATCTATAAAAAAAATTAAACTCCTTTCTAATTTTCTAAGAATGAAAGGATTCTATAATTTTTTTTTTCCCAATGGACGCACCTCGCCCTCATTGGCATATTCAATTGATTTTGAATTTAAAAAATTTAGGATAATTCTTGGAGCAATTAAACCTGCTGATAACGATTGTAGACAAATCCTGATTATTCACAAATAAATTGAAAAACCCTCAGATTCTTTGATCACCAACTTAAACCGTTGCAGGGACTGAAACTCACTCCATATGACACTCCTCCTGAAGCTTGAACTACATCTCTAGATACTAAAGGAGCTTGTTGATTGATCAAAGTGACCTATTCATAAAGCATCTCCTTCCCAAACAAATAGTGCCTCCGGTCTTTCACAGCCAGCACATTCTCTGATTGTACAAGCAAGCAATAAAGAGAGAGATTTTGATGTTACTTTTGATTCGTTTTTGCGAAATTAGAGTAGAATCAAGCTACTATAAAACCAAACCATACTTCAACCAAATTTCTTGCCATACTTCTCAACATTACCCCCTGTAGCCATTTCAGTCGGCATGCAGTTCATTACACAAGTTTCTTGCACTTGCAGATTGTACTACTGCATGCCGATAGCGGTTTCTCCCGCAGACAAAGACAAAATACGAAACCAATCCTATGATATTCATACAAAATATTTTACCACTAAGAGGAAATGGTAAGAGATTCTCTCTCCTATACTCCAAACATTCAAACGAAATCCTGTGATTACATCAATAGCATTAGAATAACTATATGCTGAGTGAACACACAGATCAGATCATCATTGGGTTTATAACTCCTGACATGTATAAGAAATGGGAAAAGCTCGACCACCGGTTCAGGTTTGGCAAGGGCTCACGTCACTCTGATTCTCGCAAGAATTTCTACCAAAAATTTCTTCAGCGAGCTAAAATTATTAGCAGTTTCCTAGGACTGCAATATCCTCTTATAGTCATGGAATGTCCCATTGAATGGTGTCACCGTACCTTCAGATACTACCCACATCTGGTCCACACTGCCAGATATAAGATGCTCGTCGTGACTCACCTGCAAGTGAAAACACATATGGGTACAGTTAATCTTAATGGAATCTCTAGACATGATCGTATGATTGTCGAGCATTGCAAATAGAAACTGAAGGGCAGTAGCACATTACCATAAGCACGCCTCCTTGGAACAGAACTAGACCTTGGATTAATGCCTCCACAGCATCCAAATCCTGCATTTTAACAATATTGTTATGTTCATTTATGACCAATTTCCATAAGCAGAATCTAGCACCAAATAAACTGTCCTAGTTATGCAGTTTACACTAGCAATGGGCCAAAAACCGATCCACAATTAGCCTAAACAACTGGATTTGCAAGTGTATGGGCTCACTCAATCAGCCAAAGTATATTACTGTAAAGCATTGGTCCTTTTCCTCCAATAATTTAACATCCTAAATAGCAACACGAGCAAAATGAAGAAAAAATAGTATAAACTTACAAGGTGATTTGATGGCTCATCAAGCAGTACAATGTGAGGTTTTTTGAAAGTTATCTTTGCAAAGGCGACCCTGCTTTTCTGACCACCTGACACAGAATCCAGAGCATAGTTTAATATGCACGTGTAGAAAACTTAAAAAATAAGAAAAAGTTTTACAAGCTCCAGATCATTGTTAAGACGGATAAGAGTTAAAGAAATGTGGTATGGGAGTAATGCATTGGCATACTCATTTGATAAGCCATTAATTTGCAATCAGAACTCGAATACAATTATCCACCGAATCAACCAGTACACCAGTCCCCTTAACATCCAACTTATTCCCAAGTTTCAGAGACCATAAAAACTTACCAGACAATGTGTACATTGGTTGAAGAGCAAGATTTCCCGTTACCCCAAAGGAACCCAAGTGAGCTCGAAGCTTCTGCTCAGGCACTCCCTGCAGGAAGCCACCAGACAACCATTAACAAAATCTCTTATATTAATAGATATGCGTTTTCAGATTTAAAGAATACACGTGCATTAAAATAGATATGGTTATATGATCTGTCGCCAATCACACCTCATTTTAAAGATGCTATTGCACCCTCATCAGCAGTCATTTGTGACTTATTTCCCAGACCTACCATGTGTATGTGCGCGCTGCTATGCGTGTGTGTGTGCATATGTGTGTGCACACGTGTGTGTGTAAATTTGCATCCATCCTGTGGTTGTTATACAAGGAAAATTTCAAGAGTTCTGCTATGGTCAGCTATTGATATGACAAAATAGGGACATCGGAAATCCTTTGGTCTGAAGTTACAGCGACACTGAGGAGCATAAGACAAGCATGGGAGCAACATTAATAGAAAAGAATCCACAAGATATGGATAAAGGGTTATGGAGGGGCACATACATTCATATATATACATGAGAAGCACCATCCAAGTTCATCTATTGATTAAATAGTTGCCCTTGCTTGAAATAAAATGGTGTTCCTACATTCACACCAAAGAAGAACACAGAGTCCTAACTAAGTCACTTAAATGCAAAAGTTCTTCCAAAGGTCTCATCCCAATTTCTTTTATAGCACAGTTAATGTTTCTGTCACATTGTAGATTTCACAATATGAGGTGAAACTAGTTCCTGATAGTCTTCCCGGCAACCTATCTTGGATCCATAGAGGTATGCTTACACAGCAATAACACCAAAGAAAGGAATATACAATTCTTGAGCTTGACATGCATCCTCAGCCCATTATCTAATAGCGTAAGCTTTTATAGTAATTGGTAGTCTGATACCACAGCAGAGCCGGACTTCCGACCACGAAGACACAAGTCTTGTTTCCCATAAAAGATTGAAGAAGTATGTCTTGGTTTCAGATTTTTCAATTCCATGGTGGAAAACTAAGATATTAGATTGTAATTAAAGTGTCAATGATCCCATGAAGTACACATAACATGAAGGTTATGAAGCTTTCAAGGAGATGAATATCTTCAGAATAGTATGATCAAGGTGAAGTTTATAAGGATAAAGCATGTTCTTAGGAAATTTTTTTCAAACAATGCATTGTACTATGTATAGAGAATTAATTCCAGTGTCCTCTACTAAGTTTGGAAGATTAACATAACATTAGAGACAATATTTTGGGAGAAACAGAGAGAGGTTAAAACAACTTAACCTAACTCTCATATATCGCTTGTATTTATAGTTAACTTACAATAATAAGAATTACACATACATGCTCTTTCTATTAATAATTTACACATACTACCCTACTATTCTTAACACTCCCCTTCAAGTTGGACAATACATATCATATAATCCAAACTTGGAACAAATAGCTGTAAGCCGTGTACGACTCAATGCTTTGGTAAACATATCTGCAAGCTGATCTTTAGATTTCACAAATGGAGTTATAATCTCTCCAGTTACTATCTTATACCAAATAAAATGACAATCAACCTCAATATGCTTGGTTCTTTCATAAAACACAAGATTGACAGCGATATAAATAGCTGTTTGGTTGTCATAGAACAACTGTAAAGGAAGTTAAACTAAAAATCCAATTTCCTGGAAGAAGTGTAGTAGCCAAGTCAACTCACTCGTCTTATGTGTTATTATCCTATACTCGGCCTCAGCACTAGATCTTGCTACCACGGGTTCTTTCTTACTTTTTCATGAGACAACATTACCTCCTAAAAAAATACAATAACCAGTGGTTAATCTCCGATCAGAAGGAGAACCAGCCCAATTAGCATCAAAGAAACCTTCCACTCTAAGATGTCCATTAACTTGATACAACAGCCCAAGTCCAGAAACTCGTTTGAGATATCGCAGAATGCGAGTAATTGTCTCCTAATGTGGTACTCTAGGACATCCCATAAACTGACTTACTATACTGACTGCATAGGAAATATCCGGTTGAATAATAGTCAGATAATTAAGCTTCCCAACCAATCTGCGATACCGAGCCGGATTCTCAAACAATGCACCATCATCCATCAATAATTTTTTATTCAGATCCATAAGAACATCAATCGGTCTACCACCCAGCAAACCTGCTTACTCAAGCATGTCAAGTACATATTTCCTCTGGGATAAATAAATACCCTGTTTAGATAGAATCACCTCAATACCCAAGAAATATCTGAGTTTTTCTAAATCTTTAGTATGAAATCGATCCTGTAAGAATATTTTTAACTTGACAATCCCCTCAGAATCATTTCTAGTAATCATAATATCATCTACATAGACCACCAATAGAATATATCCAGCATCTGTCTGTCTATGAAACACAGAATGATCTGTCTGACATCGAAGAAGACCAAACTCTAAAACTGCATCTGAAAACTTACCAAATCATGCCCTCGGTGACTGCTTCAAACCATACAAAGATTTCTTTAACCGACATACACTCTTACCATACTCCCCCTAAGCAGTAAACTCAGGTGGCTGCTCCATGTATACCTCTTCAACCAAATCACCATGGAGGAAGGCATTCTTGATGTCTAACTGAAACAATGGTCAATCAAGATACGAACAAAAGAAGTTTTGGCAACAGGAGAAAAAGTCTCCTCATAATTAACACCATAAATCTGACTAAAACCCTTTGCAACAAGTCGGATTTTAAGACGCTCCACAAAACCACCTGATAAAATTTAACAGTGTACACTCAACGACAGCCAACAGTTCGCTTACCAGGGGGTAAAGGAACGAGATCCTAAGTTCCATTATGATGTAAAGCTTTCATCTCCTCCTCTATAGCTTTCCTCCGACCCGGATCAGATAATGCATCCTGTAAATGCTTAGGAATAGATATAGCAGATAATTGGGAAGTAAAACAAGAGAAGACAGGAGACAAGGCATCATATGAAACAAAGTTAGAAATGGGATGATTAGTAACATACGAACGAGTACCTTTGCGAAGAGTAATAGGTAAAGAATCTAAATTACCTGATGTACCAGGATCAGAAGGCGGCAAAGAAGACAGTACAGGCAACTCAGTCGATGGGTGAGGACAACGAGAGTAGACACGGAGAGGTAAAGGAGATGGTAACATAGTAAGCAACGGAGATGGCAGTATAGGAGATGATCCAAAGTCCAGATCCAAAGGCTGAGAAGGTGCTAAAAAGTAGGAAACAGATTCTTCAAATGAGACATCGGCAGTAGTAAAGTATCGGTGCAGAGAAGGACTATAGCAACGATATCCCTTCTGCGTGCGAGAGTAACCAAGGAATACACATTTGGTAGCTCGAGGGTCAAGTTTGTCAAACCCAGGACCCAAATTGTGAACATAACAGACACAACCAAAAACCTTAGGAGTCATGAAAAATAAGGGCTTACCAAGAAAAAGAACAGAATATGGACTTTGTCCAGTTAACACAGAAGATGGCATACGATTAATAAGATGACAAGCAGTAAGAACAGCATCACTCCAATAATAGCAAAGAATATTCATCTAAAATAACAGGGCACGGGTGACTTCCAACAAATGACGGTTCTTGCGTTCAGCAACACCATTTTGTGGAGAGGTGTAAGCACAAGAGGTCTGATGAATAATGTAAGTTTTACTAAGATAAGCTGAAAAATGAACAGATTCATATTCCCGAGCATTATCAGAACGTAAAGTACGTATACGACAACTAAACTGAGTTTTTATTTCCTTACGAAAGGTCTCAAATATAGAAAATAATTCAGACTGAGCTTTCACCAAAAATAACTAAGTCACATAAGAATAGTCATCCACAAATGTCACAAAATAAAGATATTTATTAGATAAAATATTTTTTATTAGACCTCATACATCAGAATGAACTAATTTAAATGGACTAGACAACGATTATTGACTCAAGACTGAAATGACACACGGTGATGCTTACTAAGTTGACAAGCTTCACAAGATAAAGATGACACATAACTAAAACTAGGGACTTGACGCTTCAGATTCTGGAGAGAGGGATGTCCAAGACAACAATGTCATTGAAAAGGAGACAACAAGGTCTATAAAGCCCGAGTAGGTAATTCAAAGTCAAAGAAATATAGGTCACCAGCTTCAAGCCCCGTACCAATCTTCTTCTTCGTCTTGAAATCTTGAAAGATACAATAAGAGGGATAAAAGATTACAGAAAAATTGAGAGAACGAGTAATCTTGCTAATGGAAAGTAAACTAAAAGAAAACTGAGGAACAAATAACAAGGAAGATAGGAACATATCAGGACTCAAGTGAGTAGTCCCCAGACCTGAAACTTTAGAACAAGTACCATTAGCAAGAGTAACACTACGTGTGGAAGTAGCAGACTGATAAGTAGAAAAAACATAAGACGCACCAGTCATGTGGTCAGAGGCGCCAGAGTCGATGATCCAAGGAGGACAACAAACAAGTGGAAGCAGTAGCTGACTAGGCAAAAGTAGCAGTGGAGGGAGATGGAATAATCTGTTGTTGGGAGAGGAACTGAGCATACTCTTCTCGTATAATAGTAACCGACCCAGTGTCTGGTGGAGCTGGCCGAGGTATGGAAGCCACAACAGAGGTGTCATCCTGATAAGAAACCTGATTCGCAGTACCAGAAGGTTTTCCATGTAAATCCCAACAGAAATCAACAGCATGCCCTCCACGACCACAATGAGTACAAGAACGTGGTCCACTACGGCCCCCACAACCACCCGTACGACCTCCTCGACCACCACGTCCACCTCGATGACCATCACTGTGACTAATAGGAACCACAAGAGCTAAGCGATCAGTGGAGACACCATGATCAATGCCTGAAGGAGAAGACAATGTAGCATGCTGTAAACGAGAGAAAACCTAGAATAGTGATGGAAGACTAGAACCACCAAAATCTGAGAACGAATAGCCTCACATTCAGGTTTCAATCCTACCAAAAATCTAACAACATTCAGGTCTTCATGTTGCTACTGCCAAACTGCTGCATTAGTAGTAAAAGGGTGATAAGTCTTCATCTCCTCACAAACTCTCCGAACAGGAGAGTAATAATCTGCAAGACTCAGAGTACCCTGCTCTAACCGGAAGTACTCCTTGCACACCTCATACGCACGGGTAAAATTACCTGAACCAGAATACATAGTAGCCAAGTGATCCCATATCTCTTTGGTAGTATCAAGATAGAGCAGAGAAGAGCTAATATTAGGCTCAATGCTATTCAACAATAAAGAAATAATCTGAGCATCCTCTTGTTCCCACTGATCATACCCAGGAGTGTCTTCCTTCGGTTTAAGATTCACCAAATATTTCTTAAATCCTTTACCTCGAAGAAAGACTTGAACAGATTGGGACCATAAAGTGTAATTAGTCTCATTGAGTTTAACAGAGGTCATGAGACCATTGATAAGAGTAGGAGGAGACAAAGATGGAGTGGTATTTTGCTTGGGTTCCATAATAGTGCAGCAAATAGCAAATAAGAAGTATTGCAATGCTGAACCGGGGATGGAAATAAGAGCGGGATCACTGAACCGGACTAGTTAGACTTGCTGGAGGGCTGAACCGGGCTAGAAATAGTGGCTGGACCACTGAACCGGGTTGGAAATATGGACTGGAGGGCTGAACCGGGCTAGAAATAGGGGCTGAACCACTGAACCGGGTTGGAAATAGGGACTGGAGCACTGAACCGGGTTGTTTGAACCTCTAGATTGTTGAACCGGCAAGTTTTAACTGCTAGATCACAGAACCGGGCCGATTTAACTTCTTGAACTGCTGAACCGGTCCGGTTTAACCTCCTGAACCGCTGAATCGGGCCAGTTTAACCTCCTGAACCGCTGAACCGGGCCTGTTTAACCTCCTGAACCGCTGAACTAGACCAAACCGTTCTTAAGTGGGACCGAGTTTGGGTTGAACTGTGGGTTGAACTTAGACTTAAAATAGTTTAAGTTGATGGACTTGACCCGATCCACCCCAACTCGTTGGACTCCTTCTCCTTCGCTGAGATTACCCACATAAAATTTCCTCTGGTCTTCGACAATGCCACACACAAACAACAGACCACCACCACCACAGACGGCACCACACACAAACAAGAACCGCGACACACCACCACAGTCGCACCACCACCACGAAGATCCTTCGACTGCGTCTCTTCACCACAACACACAACAGACCACAATCAAGCTTCGGCAAGCACAGTCGAACTTCGGCAAACATAAAGACACAACTACAAACCACACCACAACACTACGAACAACTGAACTTCACCAAATATAGTACCACCACAACAGAAGATTAATTTATTCAAAATATATATTTATGATTGTAAAACCTTGCTCTGATACCATGTTAAGTTTGGATGATTACCATAACATTAGAGACAATATTTTGGGAGAAACAGAGAGAGGTTAAAACAACTTAACCTAACTCTCATACATCGCTTGTATTTATAGTTAACTTACAATAATAAAAATTACACATACATCCTCTTTCTATTAACAATTTACACATACTACCCTACTATTCTTAACATCCTCCATCCATGCACGTTCAAAGATGGTGCAAGTGATGTCAACCTATTGAGACGTTAGAATGGTTTCATAGTGGGTTCAAACGGAGGACAAATTATCCAAATGAAATGTTTGTTTGCATAGAACTTGACTGTTTTTGACCAAAGAATAAATAAAGTATTATCCCATATGTCAACCAGTTTTTTAGACATTTTTTCACTGATTTATTATAGAACATATTGAAAAAAAAAAGTGAGGTGGTAAAAGGTATACGGGACCAAATTTCTTCCCTACCATCTTTTTGGGCCCCAGTGACCAAGTATCCTGAAAGAAGTCCCATCTATTGCATCTTCACAGGATTGCAATCTGTGATATATAATGAGGATCACATGTAGCCTAGACCTATTACGTAATATGTGTTTGTGTTTTTTCATGTTCTTTCTTGGGATAGACAGCTTGTCCACCATTTTCTTTTTCTTAAGTGATAGCTATTTATCCACAAAATTGAGTGCTTCTTACCCAAAAAAAAAAAAAGCATATTGATTTTTTAAAACAAGAACACTGCAGAGTACCCCCATAGATGATATTTGGTATTCATGCCTTAACCTAAAGATTTTGGGGATGATGTGGTAGTTCATGATTGAAGCAGACCTGATGATCCAAAGTACTCACGTGGGGAACTCAACAACAGCATTGAAGGTGAGCCGCTTGTGTCATCACCTTGTCCAGTAAACTCTTTAGTTTTGATATCCTATTGCTTCAATTGTATTAGTTTGGTAAATGATTCTACCCAAACTAGTAGATTAGCCTTGTGAACATGTCCACTCATCATCAATTATATTCAAATCTCGTTGTCTCGTTGCCATTGCCAACTTTTTTATTATACTTACATGTGCTGTGCCAAAGTCTGGGCCTCACATGAGGCGGTGTACAAATGTGTGAAAACATACATTACACCCTCTCTTATAGTGGTCTTGGGTTTAAGGCTCATTGTCTGCTCCTAGTACCCTCGTCAGTTCATGCATAATGGTGCACCAGGGTCATGGTGATGCAATTGATTGTATATCTCCTCCATGGGTGAAGGGGTGTCACATGTGAGCAGTGGTGTTGAGATTTGATAAACATTGTTTTGCACATTCTCCACGAGCTTAAGCTTTGACAGTGACTGGCACTCTAACATTAATAGTTCAAGTCCATTCTCCATGAGCTTAAGCTTTGATAGTGACTGGCACTCAACATTAGTAGTTCAAGTATGTTTGAAAACAGAAGTAAACGAAAAGTAATGTGTATAATAAAAACAATTTCTTGTAGAAACCCAATATTATCAAGAAGAAACTCACTGGGAAGCAGCGCATCATATATAGAAGAGGATTGGAAGATAGATCCAGCCCGTCAACATGATGCTGACTAAACACAGCAATGCGAACCTGTAAATAGAATCGTTAAAACCAAGCATATTGAGATGCATTACACTAGAACAAATTTGCATGTGGAACACGCCTGCACTACTCAAATAAAAAAACGAGACACAACCCCACAACACCCACCAGCAATCAAGGAGGGCCATGATATAAACAATCAAATAAGCCATAACCTTGCCTTTAGGCTAATGGTCATTAGTGAAGCAAAAAATAGGACTAACTATACCTTCCCCTTAGAAAATAGACATCCAATAGAGGCAAGTATTATATACCTTAGCAGAACGGAAAACTGTACCCGAGCTTGGTTGAAGTTCCCCAGCAATTAGCTTGAGTAAGGTGGTCTTTCCAATTCCATTTGGACCAACCACTGCAACAATAATTTATATACCTAGATTTAGAACATGAAAACGGAGTAATGAATCATAATGCTTAATGTGAAGCTAAAAGCACTGTTCCACCATATCATCTTATGCACTTCACTGCTTCCCATATGATGCGGCATAGAACAAACCCTGGAAATTTCAATGTAAACTGGTTTCCTTCGCAACAGACAAATCAGAAGTAAAACCTGACATCTATGTTATGTTAAGAAGGATCCCTACATATATGAAGGGGACTGTATTTAACCATGGCACAATGAATACATAGGCAAGTAGAGAAAACAGAATCATAACTAGAATAATCAACATTTTCTAACATTAGTGAACGCCAGAACGCGTTATCACTTCAGGAAGCAATTCTTACTAGCTATGCGGCTATCTAGATCTATCCCAAAATTCAAATTCTTGAAGAGTATAGGACCCCCAGGATATCCAAAAGATGCATCACTGCAATCACATTCAGAAAACATCAACATATTACAATTGACTCCTGATTCAGGTAGAAAGACAAATAATGGTAGAAAACAACATATGTAGACTTAGTGAACTAAGAATACAACTTAATATCAGAATGATTGTGTTGTGGAAAATAAATAAAAAAAATTAGCAGATGCCAATGCTTTGTCAATCAAGGGACCAGAGGAGTTGATGTAGTCCATAAGATGTTCAGGAAGATCAATTCAAAGACATGACAAACTATGGAATTTGACTTGCTATCAAGACAGAGACCCACATAGAACCTTGTGTGATTATATTTGAGTCTAGTTGGGTCTTATTTTTGAGTAACTTTAAAGTTGGCTTGCTTTTTTTATTTTTTATTTTTGTGTGCTTATCTTTTTAAGAGTCAAGGGTATTTTCACAATTTTCATATTTGCTGGAACGTGTCATACTCGTCTTTTGGATCAAATTCTAGTATTGGACGTTTCTAGAGTTTAGAATACTAGTTCTAGCTTTATGTTAGTTTCCCCCACTCTCTGAATAATTTAGCATCTTTGGATATAGCTGGTGATATTTTTAGTAAAACGGGAAGTGATAAATTTTATGCTTTTTGATTGTGTGATGCAATTCAAACCCTAGGTGTAATACCCAAGGAACCCTGGGAGTGATTCCTAGTCAAATACATTGTTCACATCAACTGGCTCGTAGAGGAAACACTTCTTGACACCATAAAGAAAATCCAAAAAACTACTGTTAGTTTCCTACTCTGAGTAATTTAGAGTCTTTGGATATAGCTGGTGATATTTTTAGTAAAAAGGGGAGTGATAAATGTTATGTTTTTTGATTGCCCTAGGTGGGATACCTAAGGAACCATAGGAGTGGTTCCTAATCAAATATATTGTTCACAACATTGTCCACATCAACTAGCTCGCAGAGGAAACACTCCATTAAGAAAATCCCAAAAACTATTTGTAAAGCCAAACCTGAAACTTATTATAGGTGGGCCTGGCCTGTCATCGGGGGTGGGGAACTCAAACTTGTAGCTGCATACCAGAAAGGCCAGATATAATCACTAGTTGCAAAGATGAGAGTCAAAATTTATGATTTGTATTAGAGGAAGCAGAGCATACTCGGGGTCATTAATAATCTCATCCACATAACCCAGCCGATCCAATGCCTGACCCACGCCAGCAATAAAAAACAGTATAAATTAGGTCTCGGCACAAGAAGCTGAAGCATTATTCGAGAAACTAAGTGATTAGGACATGGTTGACACAAAACCGAATCAAAAGATGACAATCACCAAACGAAGTTTGACATTGTTGAGGAACCACCAGAGCATGACGTTAGATATCAGAGCTAACAATAGAGGATTTCAGCAATCAATAAAGCCACACTAAGTGAAATGGTAATAAGTACCTTAATTCTTGACTGAACAAGAGATGCACGCTTTGCATTGTAGCGGAACTTATCAATGAAAGTCTGCCACAAAAAAAAAAATGATGCTTGCAGATCAGACATTAAGATCTCCATAATTTAAATAATATGCCAAAAAGAGAAAAAGAAATACACTGTTCACATACTTTGACCCTATGATATTGAGGATGTTACGTTATAGTGAAATTATAAAGACCTCACCTCATCAACAACAATCATGTAAGATACTGACTGACAGGACATACTAATCAGTATACTTACAGAAGTGTCCAACTCTTAAACCACGAACTTAACGTGCTAGTTATTGAAGGAGACTGTAAGTAATAAATGTAGAACTTGCATCACTATTTTGCTTGCAATTTTTTTTTATGAAAGGGTAAGTTCATAAATGCCTTGCCATGTATTTTCTTCAACTCAACATAATCTTGTCTCACCCATTTGGGGTCAAAAACAGGAATCCTATTCCATCATTATCAAAGGCCTTATTTCTCTTGTTAAACAACAAACTATCATATCTTTTTTTACTATCTCTTCCAAAGTTAATTTCAATATACCTTTATCCCTTGCATTACCAATCACTAGGTCCTTGTCATGTATTTTCATTTATGCAATTCTGAAAATACCAAACCCCCACCCCCCCCCCCCAAAAAAAATAAATAAATAAATAAATAAACAAAGAACAAAAAAATTCCCAAGGAAAAAGGGGGTAAACACAGGAAAAATATTTAATAAAAATCAGATCTGAGAAGTACCAAGTATAACATCCCATATTTGAATCAAAACTCACAAGAGAACAACATCCACTAAGAAATGCGACTATTTGATAGCCAATAGCAAATGGCCACAATGGCAACAATGACTAAATGCCACAGTAGTTCCAGGGCTATGTTGCGGTTGTAACTCTGTATAAAGGGAATCTAAAGGACAGGACCCTACCCTATTCTATTCTCGAACCCTCTGCCAAGCTCTACCCTGCCCGAATTTCCTTTGGTCTAATCCAATTAACATACACATAAGCAAAATAAAAGAAGATTTATGCAGCTTCAATATGTAGTAACGGAGCAACAAAGAACCTGCATATGGGCCCTTGAACGTTCATTAGCCTCAAAAGCTTTCTGTTGGTTCTTAAGCTGTTCCTCTCGTGTCCTCTCGAATGTATCATAATTACCTTTGTATGCTGTCAGTTTTTGTCCATGCAGATGGAGAATATCTGTGACTACCTGAAAGAAAATGTTAACAAAGAGAAGTATCAGAAAATATTTGCAAGAAAATGCTGTGAAAATAAAATAAAACAAAAAATCTTTCAATAGTAATGTCCAACAGAGCAAAAGGGTACCGTGTTCAAAAATTCTCTAGCATGAGAAACAACTATGAAGGTTTTCGGCCATTTAACCAGATAAGATTCCAGCCACAGGACAGCATGAAGATCAAGATGATTCTGTCACACAAGGAGAAAGCTGAAACCTTGTGGACTTTCTCAGATAATAAACGTATGTTCTCAGATGGGCCAAAAATTCATAAACGCACCGTAGGTTCATCGAGTAGTAGCACATCAGGCTCAATAAACAGTGCACGAGCAAGAGCTATTCGCATTCTCCATCCTCCAGAAAAGGTTTTTGTTGCTCTCTTCTGCATTTCTGGAGAGAAACTAAGACCCTGCAGATTTTCTTGTCAGCCAGATAGGATCAAAAGAAACAGGATGAAACCATAATGCTGAAATTTTGTAGCTTGATTAGGAAGCCTTGTGGGCAAGCATCGTCAGGCACATGTTAAACACAAAAAGTTTCAATGAACCTAATGCAGCATATGAAAGCAAGAGAATGGGCAATTTTGGCAGCATACAAGAAGCACGCTTGAGTTCATCGCACAACCAAGTTCAAGGTCAAGTTGGGTCTTGTTATATGTTTATTGATGCTATCACACTTGCGATGTGATTTCAATTATGTCTCATTAAATTGCAGGAATTGAAGATACTTTAAGAATATCTAAATATGCAGGACATGGGCTGTAGTCACGATCCATGACTTGTATTTTTAGTCAAATTATGTCACTCAATCTTTACTAGGAGTTTTCAGCTCCCCATAGTCAAAGTCCACCACGAAGGTAAGAAAAAGTTCAAAAACCTATACAAAATTACAAACCATGGAAGATTTCTACCCAATCTACATTTAAATATCAACGAAGATGAAATTATGTGTGATGCATAAGACTTACTCAAAAAATAGTAACCTGAATCCGACTTCAATTTACCCACATGATAGTGCCTAAAAATTTTAAATCAAAAAGGTCAAATTTCAAACATTTTAAAGTTACCACCATCTTGTTAACTGACCGCAAGAATGGAAGCCGCACGGGACTCTGCAGAGTCCGCATCAATGATCTCAAGCCTTTTATATATATCTTGGAGCTTTTGTGCAATTGCATTTTTGTCAACTCCCCCATTCAGCTCCCCATTGCTCTTTCCAGTTTCATCCTCCATCTCCGTATCTCTCTTGAGAGAAAAAATTTTGTCATAAGGTAACGTTTACAAACATTGCCCGTGGGCTCATAGTTCTTCCCAAAAAAATAACAAAAAAAAAGTATTGAAACAATAACTACTACTCGCTAACACGAAAGAGTAAGTATTCAACCTGTAATGCCAATAGCCGCGCTTCATCATCCAAAAGCTGGGTTCTTTCAACGTCAGCTTGAATAACACATTGCAAGGCTGATGTGTTATCACCGGCCACTTCTTGCTCAACGTGTAATATCTGGCAGTTCTTAGGAATACCATCAATGGCATGCATAGCCATGTACCTGAGGAAGGTAGTTTTTCCTGTACCATTTCTTCCAACAAGACCTGTTAAAAGAGAGAAGCTCATATAATACACTAAAACTATAATGGCTATTTAATATAAACCAACAAACGAGAAAATCAACTCATTTTAGTGAAGAAGGAAAACTGATGTGTGCATTAAAAGTACTCACTTAAGGGACATAAAGTGATCCATATGTCGTAAATAATTTAATCTTTATTCTACTCTCTCAAAGTTTACTATAATGAATCTAAACACTTGTGGTTCTTAGATTTCCCACCACATTGAAATACTTGGTGCGTGCCCCCAGCTCAATGTGAGCAACATAGCCTCCACTTATGTAAATTTTGCTCTTCAAAGCACAATCGTCATGATTTTGAACGGAAAAAGGAAGCTTTCCAAAGTCTCTCTCTGGCAACCTATATTTAGCTCAACTCAACACAAATAAATCTGAATCACAACTAATAGGGATCGGGTAAAGCCTACAAGAATCATATTTCACCAATTTGCTTTGTTTAGGACCATATCCTAGTGCCCTAGTACTTGCTTCATAATCCCATGAGGCCTGACAGAAATTAATGCATAAGAGGTTGTGTCAGAACATTATCTAACTCTCTCAGAGAGGCTCCTGTCTAAATTGTACGAGTAGCCAGAGCTTATTTGAGGGGTAAATTCAACATTGATAAGCCTTTAAAAATAACAATATGGTCAGCCAGCATGTTCACCCATGCTGGAAGTGTACAAGATAGTGAAATAGAAAGAATCACCATAATGAAGGTACCTAAGAATATTCAAACATGGTCAACCTCCATGAGTAATAAGTTGCAAAAAGTGCAGCACAATAATGACATTGCAAAGAAGATAGCAATAATTATGCATCCATCAGAAGTTTTAGAATTTAACGCTCACTAGGAAATACAAAATTTTCTCCTCCATTATGTATATGTAAATTCTGAGAACAGAGAATGGTCTGCCAGATTTTATAGATTAGCGTGTCGTGTTAATTGTGCTTGGGATGTTAGCCTATAGTCTTGTTGCTTTATGGTATATTCCCAGTTTCATTAAGATTCTAAGCTTACAGGGGCCAATCAAAAGTTGTGAATGGAGGAATATGTGGAACTGCAAATCAAACTCACCATAGTGCCTTCCATGAGAAAGCGTCACAGTACAATCAACTATGAGATCACGACCACCAACAGATACATTGAAGTTCTCCATATGAAGGTCCCTGACAGCTGGCCCATCAGTATTATTGTCATGATTCACACATACAACAGGCATTCCAGCTCTAGTTGCTTCCATTTCTGCTAAATGGATTTGGTATTGTGCCTGTACCAATCAATTAGATGACGAATTGAAAAAATTGAAAACAATAACGTTCAACTACAATCACTGGGTGAGCTTCACATGGCTCAACGACCCATTCTGATCTCAAACCCAAGCATGTGGCATACTTCTTATTATACTCATGTCAATGATTAGAAATTGAATTGATTTCGTGCAATAGATCCACTGGCATATTCAATCTGATTATTAGATTTTTTCCTTACCTCTCTTTGGCGCTCATCCTTCCTCTTTCTCCTTTCAAGCTTCAATCGGTCACGTTCAGAAAGCAGAGGACCATCCAACACCTCAGGCTTCTTCTTAGGAACTTCCTCTTCATCCATTCCATCATACATTCTCACTGGAGCCGCAAGGCTTCTCACAGTTGGTTTAACTTTAACCAAACCATGCTTTCCAAATTTCTCCGACAGTTTGCTACAAACCTACAATTCATAATCAATTGCATTTCCAAAGATATAGAAGGGTACGGGGGTTCCCAAAATTAATTTATGGTTATATACTAGCTGCCATCCCAAAATCAAATCTCTCTAAAATGAAAAGGGCTAAGGGAATTTTTCATTGCTGGTTGTTTGGTTGCTTAGAATAGGTAACAGAAGTCGAGAAAAAATCATCAGAACTTGAAATTTCAGACTTCCTAATTCATACTGGACAATACTTCTACTCAAACTGTTGCCAAACAATATCACTTGGGAACTTGAGGCGACTCCCTCATTAATTCAAAACAAGAATAATTGAAACTTGAAAATTTTCATTTTTTTTCCTGTGCTCAATTCAGCCATCAACCAAACCAAGTGAGATAAAACATTATCTCCAATGCAAATCAAAGCCCATGGAGTATTACAATTCTAATTAACTAAAATTTAAAGAAATTATCCATCTCTATCTACATAAAAGTAAAATTAATCGAAGAATTTAAAAAGATCATACCGAACGACATTCGGAATAATCGCTAACGCAACAAGAATCAACGAGGAGCTCTCCAAGGATCTCAAAAGCGCCTTCGCCTTCAACGCCGAAATCGAAGTCTTCATCGGCGAGGACATTGATGATGTAGTCGATGATAGGCTGATCCACGTCTTGAGCCCTTCGACCTAATACTTCTTGTACTACAGCGCTAGCTACTTCTGTCATCTTCCTATAATCCTATTCAAGGCTTAGTTGCAGATGGTTCTTGCGAAAACTGTGAACGGAGGCTAATGTAATACCGGCCCTCGGCTCACTCTCAACTGAGTCCCAAAGGCTTAGGGATATGGGCTCTATGGCTTCTATATTCGGAAATTGCTTGTAGAATTAGAAAAATAACACTAACACCCCCTCATAGTTTATCACAATTCTAAAATGTCCGTTATAGTTTTTTAATTTGCACTATCTTGGGTGCCTTTGAATTTGTATTTCACAGGAACTACTAGTTTGTTGGTCGACAGTTAGCAAGATGTACATAACCTATCTTCTAATCTTTTCCTCACAAGTATTTATTTTATGGCCTAGTACAAGTTAAATTAATCAATCTAATCCAACCATGGCATGAACTTTTTTAAGGTTCACACTCATTCATAAAACTATCAAGTAAATGGAGATATTCTAATATTGTTGGGATCAATCAATTAACAATACAAATGTTATATTGATGATGATGATCTCAGATTCAACTGAGTCAAGCCAATAAATCTAACAAATCCAAGTCAATTAAAAGACAAGTCAAGCCTAGTTCGCAAATCAGGCTCAGTCCAAATTTCAAGGAGTCGAAGAAGAATTAGAGCACATGAGTAGCAATTATCGAGATACTCCCTTTAAACGATCAAGGCAACCTTTTATGGCAATTACTTTTTGTAGACACTGAGAGAATTAATACCTTTACCCTCAACCTTAACCAAGGTCCAATACCTATAAATTATAAGTCATCTCTACATGAGAGGATACAATGAGTTCTACCTCTATATCTCTCTCCACACACTTAATTTTTCTCTCTCTTAACTATTGTTCCTCTTTCTGAACTAATCTTTGCTCTCTCTCGTTTACCTTACTTTATTAATAAAGGCTTTCGAGCCACCGTTATCGTTTTCCAAAGTGGAATAGGTCATCCAAATGGAACCACTATATATCTGTGTGTTGACTAAATATTTACATTACTGTCATTGATTATTTTATTAATTATTTATTAATTATACTATATTACACACTCGACTCTTGATCTTGTACGAAACTATTTTTTGCATCATCAGATGACATCGGCCAAGGATGAGAAACACCAACGGGGTACTAAAGTAGGATTGGATCTATTGAGATAAGGTTTGATCAGAAAAAAAAAATGGGATGCACGAACAGGGATTGAGGAAGGGCATTTTATTTCATGGTTGCATGGAGTGAGGAAAGAAGATGAAGATGACATAAAAACTAAGTCCAGCATGAGTCTTGATGAGTCCGAATTTTACTAGGCCAAGCCCAATAAAAATAAATCAAGAAAGTTCAAAAGAAAGCCTAAATCGAAGTTGAGTTAACCCATCAGGAGGGAGTCCAAAGCGCTAAAGGAACCAAGAGGCGTCAAGTATCCCCAAAGGGGGACGTTGCCCAAGTGGACGCGCCCCAAGGAGGTGCCACCCAGGTGGTCTCCAAGAGGGCGCCGCCCTATGGTTTGCCTCCCTGTCCCTCTTCTCCACTCCAATGCAAGTCCAAGTCTACACCACCCCAAGTCCAAGCTCAAGATCAAGATCTGCCCAGCTCAAGATCATCCTCCGACGAAATAGGGACACGAGCGAGAGAATATTGAGATGCGGAGATTCATTCCTACTAAGGTTATACTTACAAAAATAGTGGAAGACCCCCTTCCTCACGTCACCACCTTGGTGTGCCTATATAATGTAAGTCCTCTATATGTAGAGAACATGCTCTTATAGTTTTGAAATCCCTACACACACTACACCATCCCACACCCCATTACTCTCTCTCTCTCAAAGGCATTGTAAAACCCCTGAAGAATACTCTTTGGCGACTTCATTCATTAATAAAAGACCCAAGTCACCGCTGTCGTTCCCGAGAATACAGTAGCTCACCCGAACCGAACTACTATAATTCTCTGTGTTAGCTTCTTATTTACAGCTTTATTATTGATTGTTTTATTTATTGTTCATTAACTGCACCCGTTCATACACTTAACTGTTGATTTTGCACAACAACCAATTTATGCATCATTAGTTTGGTGCCGTCTGTGGGAAACGACTAGTTTTCCTACTATTTTGGTCAATGACAATCACTACCAGATCAATGAGCCAACAGCCGGGAGATAATAACCCGACCCACCAGGAGGAGGCTCCGCCTCCTTTTGCACCTGTAAAACCATCTGTTACTACTACTCCCGCCGATGGACAACAGCAACAACTCCTCTAGACCATGCAACTATTAGTGAGCTAAAACCAGCAAATCATCCAACTCATACTCTCCCAAGGAGGCGTTTGCCCTCCCCTCGCAGGAAGAGTCGCATTCCCCCCACCAGGAAATGAGCAACTGTCTATCCTTTCTGGGCGCCAGGCAGGCCCACACCATGGGGCCCCTTGCCAGAACATTTTAGGACTACGCCAAGGTGCCCCTCACCCATTCCCTCCTTAGTGCGCAGGGAGTTCACGAGTACCCTATCCTCATGAACCTGTGCAGGAGAACGAAGATAGAGAAAGTTAATACGGAGACCATAAAAGCCAATGCCACCACCCAATGGAGGATGTCCCTAACCAGTGGGATGAGAAGATCAAAGAGGTACAAAACCAACTCGGCAATGCCCTCAACCCCATCAAGGCACAAGCGCATGAAACCGTGGACTACTTGGTAAGGTGCACTGATACCTCTTTCATTGCTGATATCGTTAACTACCCTCTACCCTCGAAGTTCAGGATGTCCACCATCGAGATCTTCGATGGCACCAAAGACCCCCTAAACCACCTAAATACCTACAAATCCCTCATGCAACTCCACAATGTGCCTGAGGAGATAATGTATAGAGCCTTCCCTACCACCTTGAAAGGGTCTGGTCGCTAGTGGTTTTCCAAGCTCAGGCCCTCCTCTATCCGCTCCTTTGCCGAGCTCAGTAGGTCCTTCGTCTCCCACTTTATTGGGGGACGCCGACATTAGAAACCAGTAACTCATCTGCTCACAATCAAGCAGGATAGGGAAGAAAGCCTCAGAGACTACCTTGTCTGCTTCAATGAGGAGATCCTCCAAGTGGAGGAACCAGATGATAAGGTGGCTCTGACTGCCTTTATTGCCGGCCTTCGCACCTCCAACTTCATGTTCTCAGTCCTCAAGAAGTCACCCTCAAGCATGCCCGAGCTGCTGTCTAGGGCACAAAAGTATATGAATGCCGAGGACGTCACCAAGGCTTGTCGGGGTGAGTCCTCTCGAGGAAGGGAGAAAAGAAAAGACGACTGAGAAGATAGAAGAGAGACCGAGAATAAGAGAAAGAAAGTCGAGAAAGTCTCCGTGAAAGACCGCCTCGAACTATTGCCACCAAGAGACCGACAGCTATTCACTCCACTCAATGCCTCAGTGGAGCACATTCTCTTACAGATTCAAGACGACCCCACGATCTGTTGGCCTAGGAAGACTAAGTCTGACCCGAAGCGCCAAAATCCCAGTAAGTACTGTCACTTCCATCGCGACCATAGACATGACATGGATAACTGCTTCCAATTAAAGAAGCAGATCGAGGAGTTTATTCAGCGCGGCCAGCTAAGACACTATGTCTCTGGTGGAGGACTAACCCCTCCATACAAAGATAGAGAGCTCCAGCAGCCCCTCGGTTAGATTCACACTATCGCCAGAGGGTTAGGAGGAGGAGGTGACTCCAACTCTGCCAGGAAGGCGCACGTCTGTAGAACTAGACAGGCAGAGTCTCATGACTCTCGCCCGCTGAAGACACCCCGACATGGAGAGGAGGATGTCATCACCTTCTCAACCAAAGACCTCGAAGGAGTCTAGGTCCTACATGATGACCCTCTGGTCTTGACCTTGATGGTGGCCAACTACCAGGTCAGGAGGGTCTTAGTCGACAGCGGTAGCTCAGCCGACATCCTGTTCTTCACTGTCTATGACAGCCTTCACCTTGGTAGAGAGAGACTATAGCCAGTCAGGACTCCCTTGGTTGGAGGAGAGAGAGTCCAGCCCCTGGGATCTATCACCCTGCCTGTCACAGCAAGGACTGCTCCTAGAAGCTCGACTATAATGGTAAATTTTTTTGTACTTGATTGCCCTTCTGCTTACAATGTAATTCTTGGACACCCTGCCCTCAATGCCTTAAGGGTAGTACCCTCAACTTACCACCTTCTCCTTCGTTTCCCAACCTTCAATGGAGTTGGGGAGATAAGAGGAGATCAGGTCTCAGCCAGAGAGTACTACGTGGCCTCTATGAGGGCTAAGAGACCACGAGACTCTCCAAGTTGAAGTACTTGACCCCAAGGATGATAGCACCTTGGAAAGGGGTGAGCCCGCAGAAGAACTTTAGCCTGTGGTGCTCAACGACAGCCTTCTAGAGAGGAAGGTCTACATAGGCTCCTCACTCTCCCAAAAATTGAAATCTAACCTTAATAGACTTCCTCAAACAGAACACAGACGTCTTCGTTTGGTCCCACAAAGATTTGAAAGGTATCGATCCTGAAGTGGCCTCCTACCGACTCAATGTTGACCCCAGATATAAGCTTGTCTGCCAGAAGTTGAGGAGTGTGAGCACTGAGAGGGGGCAAGCCATGGAGAAAGAGGTAGATAAGCTGCTCACGAATGGGTTAGTAAGGGAGGTAGCATATCCAGATTGGCTATCCAATGTGGTAATGGTGACAAAGGCTAATGAGAAGTGGCGTCTCTGTGTGGACTTCACAGAGTTCAACAAGGCCTGTCTCAAGGATAGCTACTCTCTCCCACGCATCGACATACTCATTGACGGCACTGCTAGACACGAACTCTTAAGTTTTTTAGACGCCTACTCTGGGTACAACCAGATCAGCATGTTCCCCCCGGACCAGGAAAAAACCTCGTTCATCACCTTGAGAGGCACTTACTGCTACAGGGTGATGCCTTTGGGGCTCAAGAACCCTAGCGCCACATACCATCGCCTCATCAACAAGATGTTTGAGGCCTAGATTGGGGAGACT